TTTTTTATAAATAATAAAATTCTTACGAATATGTTGAACTAATAACTCTTGAATTGTTGTTATAGCAATGAGTCTACTTTTTGCTTGAGTCTCGCATCTGCTCGATTTGTGGTTTAAAGCCTACTACGACTTTTCTATTTGGTGTATTATTTGGAAATCGAATAAGACTATCAAAAATATTTGTTGCCTTCGTTAAATGCTTATTAAGACTTTGTATACCATCATTAGAGCCGCGTGAAACCGCTCTCAATGTGATCGCTCTCCATATGCTTACTCTCCTAAGCACGATCTCTGAGTGCGCTATGTGAATAATATAATGAATAATTAAAAGAATGATAAAATGGAATATAAATTAACGAAAAAATAAAGTGGAATTTGATATAAATTCATGAATCTCTAACATGCATTCAAGGACAGAATATTTTAATCTTTCATAATTTATTTATTAAAGTGTGTATTATAGAAAAATTAGACTAAAACGTTCCTTCGTACTCGATTTGTGATCTATTGCTAGTTTCTCTATAAACGCCAGCATTTCCAATTTTTGCTCTGCCTTCTGATCATATGCTTCCCCTTATATAGTTAATCAATCAATCTCAATAACGTGTAGTGTATTGGTATGCATTTGTGTATATAGATGAACTCTATACCTATTGCATATATGTATATAAATGAACAGCTTTCTATACCTATTGAGTATATATATTTTGAATCAAAAGGAGAAAAAAAAAGGTTTCTTGGTTTATTGTTATATTTCAAATAAATATCTTGTTAAATATAAATATTTAATCCAAATTGAGCAGTATGTACATCTAGGTGAATAAATACATATTTTTTTCTATTCCATAAAAGCTTTGCATTTCATTAAGAAAGACATGAGACTTAAATAAATAAAAAAAAAAAATAATAAATAAATAAAAATAAAAGAAAAATAAAACATCAATATCTAGATTAGAAAAACTAAAAAAACTCTTTAGGGAACAATTCTTTATATATATATTTAATATATAATGTTGAAAGTGACACCAATGATATTTCTGAACTTGAGAACAGAAAATTCCAAGACTAAGTTCTGTAGCTCGTTTCTACCTCTCGTCTCTCAAGCTCGCACTTTAAACTTTGTTGACATTTTTTATAAATTTCAAGCTAGAAACCTGAAAGTTTTTCTTTTTAACAACCAAAAAGAATGCAAGAAAGAAAAAAAGGGCAAATATATATAGACTATATAAAATGAATAGAAAGAAAAACAAGCTGGCTAAAAAAGCGTGAATGAAACCTGCCCTAAATTCGCACAAGCGGCTTAAAACAACAACAGCAACAAGAAGAAGARGAATAACAACAAAAACAACCGCGAGTAAAAGGAAGCGAAATATGAAATAAAAACAGGATACAAAGCATCACCAAATAAGAGAAGAAAAACAAGAAGCATAAGGCGCACGCAGTGGGCGGTCCACAGAGTGCGTGGGCTGTCTGCTTGCGGAAGGGTGTGGGGGTCGTTTCAGTTGAAAAAAAAAAATAAAAACGTGTGAAAGACGAAAGGCGAAAGGAAACGTCGACGCTGCGTTTTTATGCCAACGCCAGTCCTTGTTGCAGGACACGCACCAAAAGGAAGGCGCAGCACGCATAAATCTAATGCCAAATTACATTATTTTGTCATTTCGCCCCCACAGAACCCAACCGAACCCCACCCAGCCCAGCGCAGCCCAGCGCAGCCGCCCCATCTACAGCGGCACTGCTGCTGCAGTGTCCTGGCCGGCGGGCATAAAACACTGTCAAAAATAAACTTGAGCACAAAAAGGAAAAAAGTGCAGAAAGCTCTTGGGGTAAAAGTTTGCCAGCCAAGAGCAACAACAACAGCAACAATAGCAACAACAGCAACAGCAAAAAGTACATTATATGCAAGCATGCAAAGGGGGGAAGGCGAGGGAATGCCAGTTGTCAAATATATATATATATATATACTATATATATGTAGATATATATAGATGACTCTTGTGTGCGTGCGTATGCGCTGGGGTCTGAGTCCTTGGGGTTGTTTGCCAAGTTCGCGGCCGAAGCCGAAAGTGAAAGTAAATGCAAGCGAGCCTCAAAAAACGAAGCGCGCGCGTCGCTGCTCGCTGTGGCAGTGGCGTCGCGGTCGACGGCGCTGCTGACGCTGGCGTGCGTGCGTTTAACAAATATCCTTCGGCACGTTGCTTGGCCAAGGACATTGCGGCCATTAAAATTGGAGGCATTCAAGCTTTTTTCGGTTTTCTTGAGACGCGCGACTGCAACAAAAAAGAACTCAATCGCGCGCTCTCACTCACTCACTCACTCGCTCGCTCACTCTCTCTTGCTCTCCCATTCAGCTCTGTTGGGGCGCATTCGCTCTCTGCGCGCTCTCTCTCTCACTTACTCTCTGTGTCGCTCTGGTTCTCTAGCTCTCTTTTTTTTTTGCGTTTGCGTATTGGCCAACTTTCACTTTCTTTGCCTTGTCCTTTGCCTTCACAGCTTTTCACTTTCGCTTTTCCTATAAACCCTGTGAAAGTTCGTCGTACGCGCGCTCGCTCTCGCCCTCTCGCTCTCACACTCGCTGTCTCTCTCTCTCTCGCTCGCACACTGCACGCCATCTCGCTCCGGCGCGCGACTTCCTGTCTGTGTGTGTGAGCTTCCGGTTTTGTTTTTACTACTGATAAGGCGTCAGCCAGGCGACTGCCCAAAAAAGTATGCTACGCTTTCTACATGCGCTGCTTCGCTCTCTGTGTGAGTGCGTGTGTGTGCGCGTGTGTTGGTGTGTGTTTTTGTGTTTTGGGAAGACGACCAGCAGGCGCCCTTTTTATTGTTGTTGCCTCTGTGCGTTGCAAGGATCAAGGACGTTCAAGAAAACCGAAATGGGCTTCGGGCCTCGGCATAAAAAAAATGCAGGGCGTACAATTTTCATTTACTTTGACTGCTGCTGCTGTTGCTGCTGCTTCTTCCATGTTTTTCTTTGCTTTTCCTTTTTGTTTTTTGTGTTTTGTTTTGGTGGTGGCTTGACTTTGACATGGGTTGGTGTGTGGCGGGCAGAGGGGCGGAGGCGTGGTCGCTTGGATGGCTGCAGCTGCCTCTTTGGGCCTGTACATAACAGAAGTGCGTGTGCGCCTATATAATGCGTGTGCTATATGCCATCTGTGTGCGTGTGTATGTGTGTGTGTGTGTGTGTGTGTGTGGAGCGGGGAGGGGGAGCTCTGCTGCTGCTGCAGTCCTTTATTGAGCCAAGAGCCACCCACCTCTGGTGGAGTCAGGCAGAACCGAACGACCCGCTGCGTTTGTAATTTTCTCTTTTTTTGTGCGTGTGCAGCAGCGACGTCGACTGTGGGGCGACTGTGGGGGCGGTGGGGCGGCCAAGGTGGTTGTAGGCGCGGCATTGTGAGTGACGTTAAATGCTGTTGTTGCTGCTGTATATACAATGTGTATATATATGTACATATATTTAGCTGGCTTTTGGTATATAGCAGGTTTTTCTTTTTTGGCAACTGCACAACAGGCGAACATTTTCATTGCTTTTCCTTTTTGGCTTTGCCCTTTGGTTACTTATGTGGGTCGCAGCGGGCACGCTGCATAGCAATGAGGCTGCCTCCGCCTCGGTTAGTTTAAAGTAAAAGTTTTTGCTTTTGAGGTTTTCTGCGTTTGCCCCGCTGCGCCCCGCGCCCTTCCACTCTTCACTCTGCGCATAAAGTGCGTGCCAAATGTCGCTTGCGGTTCGAGTTGGTTTTCCTTTTATAGTTAATTGCCAACTTAAAGCTTTCAAATATATATACACACTTATATATATATATATATATATATGCCTATGTAGATAGCCGAACAGGAAACGAAATTAATTTGGTCGTTAATGTGCCTTGGAAGTGACAGCAAAAAAGTTCAATGTAATTGCGAGAGTCTAAAGAAATGAACTCGAGCCAACATGCGTAGCTATAGGGTTTCTTATCATAGACCAAGGGCCATGAGCTGATAGCTGCGAGAGCTTTGATATGACATGAGAAGGCTCTACACTAAATTGATTCAAGTTTATTTGGAACAAAGTCTGAAATTAATCAAGGAATATTCTTGTGATTTTTTTTTTTTTTTTCTTATAAGAAACTGATTATATTATAGTTAAATGACCATTCTATGGTTATAGATTCGATTTATTTTGTATATCATTATGCAATATAAAGTGATCTACACTATTATTTACATTAATAATAATATCATTATTATTATCAGTCTCATTGTTTTTGTCGTGTTCATTATTGTTGCTCTATCTTCATTTATTATTATCATTATTAATCATTTGTTTTCTTGTCTTGATCAAATCATTGTCATTCTTATTTTTATTATCAATATTTTTATCATTTAATTTATATTTTTATAAAATTATATTTATTGCATTGCAATGCATAAAAAATAATAAATATTAACTAAATACTCGAAAAACAGTAAAATTTATTTACATTATCAATTTTATTGTCATTGACAATATCATATTCATTGTAATCTTTTCCATCGTTTAGATCACTATTATTCATTTATCAATATGAATATTTTAATTTTAATATTTATATTAATATCTTCGATTTTACCATCATTATTCTTAACATTATTAGTACCAATGTCCCATGAAACCTCTGTAAGACTATTTAAATATATAGTGTCTCTTGAGCTTAGTTTCTCTTGATCCAAAGGTCAAAGATGTTTATGTGTCTCCCAGCTGCCTACTCGTTGTCTCTTGTCTCCCAGCGGCCTACTCGATATCTCTTGAAGCTTGAAGCAGTCACATTCAATCTGAGAATGTTGCTCATTAGGACAGCCAGGCTGTCTGCCACTCGTGTCATCCACCTACTCATCTCTCCAATAATATCTATATATGTATCTATCCAGCATTCGCTACACAATTGTTCCATATTTATTTCGAGTCCCGCTGCGCATTCATCATTTGGATGCAGCCTCAGCTCGGCGCTAAAAATGTTCATTCAGGAATTCGCGCCACTGACAGCACCTGCCCATCACAAGCTATAAATGCCAGTATGTCTCTCTCTCGCTCTCTTTCTCTCTATCTCTTTCACTTTCTCTTTCACCTTTTCCCTTTCACATT